CAGTTACTGTCCGGGGTGAGTCACTCTCCAGTATTTCCAGACCTCGATCACTCCATCCAGCACCCCAGCCTCACCTGTCCACGTGCTGGAGAGGGCAGGTGGGGCGCACAGCGTGCAGATCTAGCGCGCTCTGTGAGCACGGAGGTGGGAGCATGCTAAGCAGTTTTCCACTGGTCTGGGCGATATTTATAGAGGACCGGCACCTTGGGGCTGGAAGCCTCCTAGTGACTAAGGAGGGGGACAGTGCTGCTGGCCCTGCTGAGGGAATTCCCTGCGGGGCTGTCCCTCAGGTTCACATCCCAACTCCTCCCCCCCACGGCTCTCACACCTGTTTTGACCCCAAGCAGATCAGATGTGGCAGTGGGGGGGGGGGTCATGTGATGGAGAGATGGCTATAAATAGCGGGGGTGGGCATGCTGCCCCAGACGCCTTGGGGACAGGCAAGAGGACAGGCTTAAGGAGCTGTACTGGGGAGAGGACGGGGGGCAAGCAGGCCAAGGCCTGGCCGGGGGCGGGAGCATGAAGCCATCTGAGTCCCAGCGGCGTGGGGGCGAACAAAGCTGGTGGGGGAGTGCCCCCCAATACCAGTACATGCCCTTCGAACACTGCACCAGCTACGGACTGCCCTCTGAGAATGGGGGCCTCCAGCACAGGCTCCGGAGGGATGCAGGCCCCCGTCCCAGCGCCCACCCCACGCAGGTAAAGTCCTAAGGAAGCAGGTAGGGGAGGGGGTGGGTGAAGACACAGTGGTGTGATGGATGGAGGGAAATTAGGAATTGGGGGGAAAGAGGGAGCAGTGTTGTCTTTTTCACTTAAAAAAGGACATAGCAACGTGTTCAAAATACGACAACCCTTCGAAGGCCTGGGCCCAGCTCCGTGTGCCATGCCCGAGAGCCACACGTCCTTTTAGATAACCTTTCCCGGCGGAATACTGAGTCCTACGGGGGACGGCAGAGCCACCCATGCATGATGAGCCCGTGCTTACATAAGCTACACGAGTGACTGGCCAAGGAGCCACCTCTGAGTGTGCAAGCTCCCTCACACCCTCACCCACACGCGGCACCACCCTACACATGGTGTTTTCGTTAACCAAGCCCAGACACCGAGGCCTGGCAGCCTGGAGCCCCCTCCCCCGCAGCTCTGCTCTGCTATGGCGCTCAGCTCAGCGGGAACCAGCCAGCACAGACTTGGTGCCTTCAGTGTTTGCCAGCCCGGTCTGGTATGGAGCCCCCCTCTACCTCCCCTCCACCAGCCTGGGACCCGAGGGGGTGAGATGGCCTGCGGAAGGGCGTGCACCATGTGTAGTGTCTCCTCTCCAGGTCCCAGGTGGGGCGTGGAGGGAAAGACTGCCTCCCTCGGTCACTACCAACCTCATCCCAGAAGACGAAAGTGCCACGAGCTGGGGCCGTTAGCGTGCGCCTGTCCACTGCTCAGGCTTCAACGCGCTGCTCATGTTGCGAAATCAGATCTCTTCCACCCAGGCTCTCCCAGACCAGCAACTTTGGCCTGGCCTGACCCTGGCCCCAGAGGACTGCGTTAGTGCAGTGGGGGTGGGGCAGGCCAAAACCAATTAGAGCCACACCTGGGGATGCGGGGGAGGGGGCTACCAGATCCGAGGGGCGCTGTCGGCTCCCTTCACCTTTTTGGGGAGCATCTAGCTACCCTGCTCTGGGAAGAAGAGGATCAACTTGCCTTCTCAGGGCTGGTTCCTATCGGTACATACGAGTCCAGGGAGTGAGGGACGGGCTTTCTCCAAGCTGGGCTGAGCATCTGAAGGCCTCCACTAGGGCTAGACGCACCAAGGTACACAGTGCAACCAAGAGTCACCTGCTGGTCTGTCCTCACCCTGCCCACGTCAGGATTCCTAGGAGGGAAGTCAGTGCGAGGGGTCTGGGGATGTTAGAGAGACAGGCTGAGATACAGTAAGCAGAGTGACACAGAAAACATCTCATGGACGCAGATACCCAGTCTTAGCACAGTTCTTCTATCTCTACTACAGAGTAGAAATTGGCCTCCTTGATGAAGGCTGCCATCGACCACGATGAGTACAGATGGAGAGAGAGAGTGAGGATGGACAGACAAGGGTAAAGAGTGGGAAACGTGCAAATGGAGAGTGGGGAGTTGAGGGCAAGGAGGACCTCAAAGGGACCCTACACAAGGCCCTCGACACCCAGGATTTTAAAAAGCTGCTCATTTTTTCTGTGCATCTCTGTGCTTCCCTCTGTCCATTCCTTTTGACTCCTCCACAAGACACTTCTCATTCTCCCCCTGTCCAGATTTACGGCCATCACAAAGATCAATTCTCAGACAAGGAGCAGGACATGGGGATGCCCAGGAAGAGAGGCTCCAGTACTACCGTGGACAGCAAGGATGAGGACCACTACTCTAAATGTCAAGGTGATGGGGACTGAGGAGCCCGGTGACCTGGAATAAGAGGAGGCACACGGCTTAGGAGAATAACTTGGATGTCCGACTGCATTTATACGCCCCTCCCACATACACCCCCAAAGCCCTCCTCCCAGTACTAAGGAGAGGCATCTCTCCCCATCTTCTTCCCCACCCTACCTCCCACCCAGCCCAAAGAAATGAGCCCAGTGGGGAACTGGACCTTGGTGTCTCTGGAAGGGGTGGGGGCAGAGAGGTGCAGAGAGACTCCGTCAATGAGATATCTAGACAAGACCCCCATTCAGTCCTCAGTTACATACCCCAGTAGTGACATACCCCTTTCTCCTCCTAGACTGTGTCTGCCGCCTGGGGCGTGCAGTAAGGAGAAAATTAGGGGAAGACTGGATCTTTCTGGTGCTTCTGGGACTGCTTATGGCTCTGGTTAGCTGGAGCATGGATTACGTCAGTGCCAAAAGCCTTCAGGGTAGGTTTTACCTGGCCCCACCCCCTCGGCCTGTCCCCATACTGTGGCTGTGTCTAGAGCCCCCACCTAGGATAAGCCAGAAGTGCTCTAGGAGTGGGACGGAGACCAAGAGCGACCGGCCCAAGACAAGGCCAGACCAGCCCCAGACCATCTATCCTGCCCCTCCACCTGCCGCCCGCCACGCTGTGGGTGCCCCTCGAATACCGTGACCTACTCACCCTAGTTTTTCCAGGGCCTTCCCAGTTTGGGCACTGTAGGTCTTGAGCCCCGGGACCTCCTCGGGTCTGGTGGTTGGTCACCCTTTGGCCTCTAACATCGGAGCCACAGTCCCCACACTCCAGTGTGGCTCTGCCAGCACCTCCACCTCCCAGGGGTGTTGGGAAGTTGAGCGGGTGGGGGGCGTCTCCGGCGACCTGGGGGTCCCCATGCACGTGCCAAACGTGAATAGCGCCATCTCGCGAGGTCAAACGGGACAGCCCGCCCCCCCCCGCCCCCCGCGCATGCTCCTTGCACTCAGTCCCTGCGCAGCGTGGGGTGACGGCAGCACCCCAGCCAGACACGCGGAGCCCGGCGCGTGTCTCTGCAGCCTACAAGTGGACCTACTACCAGATGCGGCCCAGCCTGCCTCTACAGTACCTGGTCTGGGTCACCTTCCCGCTTCTTCTCATCCTCTTCAGTGCCCTCTTTTGCCACCTCATCTCTCCCCAGGCTGTTGGTAAGAACTCTCCAGCGGATGCCCCACGTCCCCTCATGATCTCATTGTCCTGCTGACCCTCCCATCCCACTCCCTCCCTGGCGCAGCCCTCCTGGCAGCTCCTGCACCTGCTTCGCCCCGGTCGTCCCCACCACAGCCCTCTCTCCCTGCCCCCGTCCCCATGTCCCCCGTCTGGGTGTTCATCTCCCTTTTAACCTCTGGCTTGAACCTGCAGATAATCATTTTGTCACCCTTTTAGGATCTGGGATCCCCGAAATGAAGACAATACTTCGTGGGGTTGTCCTGAAAGAATATCTCACCCTCAAAGCCTTCGTGGCCAAGGTCGTGGCCCTGACTGCAGGGCTGTCCTGTGGGGAAGGAGGTAGGTGGGTGTCACGGGGGCGGGAGGTGGGCGGCCTGCAGGCAGAGGGCAGCCATGGGCGCAGACAACGTGGCATGGGGACGAGAGCCAGGGCCCGTCCTGTGCACTGTAGGATGATTAGCAGCATCCCTGGCCTCTACGCACTTCATGCCCGTAGCAGCCCACAGTTGTGACAACCGGAATGTCTCCAGGCATTGCCAAATGTCCCCCAGGGGGCAGGATCTCCCCCCTAGTTGAAGATCACTGCGTTAAAAATGCTCCAGGCCAATACCCTTGTTTTAATATGCAAACGCTGAGACCTGAAGGAGGCTGTGCTTTCTTCAAGGTTATACTCATGCACGTTCTTGTCCCACTATGGTCGTTAATCCACACTGCAGCCAGAGTCATCTTTTCCAAGTGGAATCAGTAATGTCTGACCTTTACTCGAGAACTTCTAATGGCTTTCCATTCTTAAAATAAAATCCTCCCTTCTCACGGGGCCCTCGGAGGCCTGTGGTGGCCTGGCTCTTCTCTCTTTCTCTTCTGTCCTCCTAGGCTACCCTTCACTCACCGCGTTTGAGTGACAAGGCCTTCTTCCTGTCCCTCAGCCACACAAGCTTGCCCCCCCCCCGCCCTCCACCGCTCAGGGTCCCGCACTTGCTGTGCCCTCAGCCTGAGACATTGTCCTGACTCCCACGTGGCTCACGCCCTCAATAAGGCACTACTCAATTGCAACCTTCTCTGAGCACCTCTAAACAAATCCCCCATCCCACCCTTGTCTGTCTTGTGTCTCTCTGTCCCCTTGCCCTCCCTCAGTTTCTTCCTACCCCTTAGAATTTTCCGAAATGATAAAATGCCAGCGGATCACCTCCCTTCCTCTCTGGGACGAAGCTCTGTGAGAGCAGAACTCTATCTTACTCACGGCTCTGTTTCCAGGACCTAGTACACGCCCGGCGCAATGAATGTTAGTCCCCGGAATGCCACAGAGGCTCCCTCCTGGCCCCCTGCTCCTGACCCCTCGCCTTCCTTCTCTCTCCCAGGGCCCCTTTGTCCACATCGCCAGCATCTGCGCTGCTATCCTCAGCAAGTTTATGTCGGTGTTCTCTGGGGTGTACGAGGTAAGGCTGAGGAAGTAAAATGAGGCGGAGCCGTGTGTCTTCAGGACCTCGAGAAGGCTGCCTTGGCTCTGGGCTGGCCACGATGCTGAAACGGGGCATGGCGCTAATCCACGCTCCCTCATTCTCCACACACACCCCGCAGCCTGTCTACACTACCTGAACCCCCTGTTTAGCGTGTGTCTGTCCAGTAACGCTCCCCTCCTTCTCGCTCTGCACCCCTGCATCGGGGCCTGCACACAGCCGGCTCCTCTGCTAACCTGCCAGTCTGCACGCCCCGCCATATCAGCCCCCCTCCACGGTTCCCTCCTGTGCTACCCCTGTCCCTTTGTTGTCCCCGACCCCCCACCCCATCTCTCTCTGACTGCCCTCCGCCCCAGCGCTCTGCCCTCCTTGTCCTGCGTGCTTCTCTGTTGCAGACCGTGCCTGGGCAGCTTGACTTCCTGGTGTCAGCCTGCGCGGTGGGCGTGGGGTGCTGCTTTGCAGCCCCTGTTGGAGGCAAGTCCCACTTCCTCCCCATCTGGGTTGCCTGAGCACGACTTGGAAGCGGTTCTGGGTGGCTGCCACAAGCTTTGGGGTGGACGGGGGTGCTCGCCGACAGGAACGGTGAGTGAGCATTCAGAAAGTGACCCTCGATCCCAGCTCCTGGCGCCCACACTTTTCTACCAAAGGGCCATGTGTTCTTTCGAGGCCGGCGGCTCTCTCGTGCGGGCGTTAATGGTGGTACTGCCCGTCTGAATCACTGTCCCGTCTCTCTTGCTATTGACACTCCTCCCCCGATTGTCCCTACCTCCAGCCCTGCTCTGGTGACCCTTTGTTGGCTTACATGCCCACCATGTATTTGTCTAACTTTTATTTCGTTTTCTATGTTTGGCCTTGCGCTGTGAGGTCACTTCCTGTTTGCCAAACTCACTGAGTGTCTCCTGGCCTGAGAATCGTGGCAGGGGCGGTGGGACCACTGTGATTGCCTGTGACTGAAGCCTGTCCTTCTGCCTTATTCCCCACCCCTGCTTGTTCTCTTTTCCTCTCTCTGTGCCCCCTTCCCCACCCCTCCCATCTCTCTCTTGGTCTGTCGGTCCCCTAGTAGCAGCCATACTATTACGCTGACATGCTGACGGTGGGCTGTGCCGTGGGCGTCGGCTGTTGCTTTGGGACACCACTTGGAGGCAAGTGATTTACTCCTACATCGGTCCACTTGCCTGGTCTTGCCACCTAAACAGTTGCTGTCAGCATCCCCGAGTGTAGATATTACCAGGTAGAATAAGGGAATAACAGAAATAGCTAACTTTTAGTGAGCCTTTACTACGTGCAGGCGTCGTTCTAAGCACTTTATGTTTATTCTGCCAAAAGCTGTATGAGATCGAGGTTACTGAGGACAGAGGAGAGAACTGATTACAGAGAGAGTGAGCGACTTGAGCAAGGCTGGTTAGAAGTAAAGCCGGGAATTGAAACCGAGGCAGGCTCCTGGTTCCCCTACGTACATTAAAACCCTTTCTGTATTGTCAAATGTTTTTGCCCTCCGTTTATTACATCTTCTCACAGGGGACGCTGTGTACTTTCTTCTCCAACGCAAAACTTGCATTTCGTTGTGCGTTTTTAAGGACGTGGCGGTTTTAGTGGCACGTTTTAAATGAGGACTACTGGTGAGAGTTGCAGGATCATCGTTCCTTGATTGCAGCGTAAAGTTGAGTTTAGCTCTTTCTGCACGTGAGACAAAGGGTGACCTTTCAGATTACTTTCCTTGTCCTGAATGACTGTCAAGCGGGCATGGTCAGAGAAAACAGTCGTGTGTGTTTATTTACTCATCAGTATCTTTTGTAACCAGATTAACAGAGCAGGGATTATATGGACCAGTCATTGGATTCACGGGTGACGAAAAGGACACCAAGTTGACAATTGAAGAAACAGATTTCAGGAAAGGCATATGCCTCTTAAACGCACCAGCCGTCAGAGGTAGCTTTTCAGTCGTGAAAACGCGAGGGGTCTTTTCGTAGAGGAGTCTTCAGGTAGCTAAAATGGCTTGGCTCCGGAGCGATGTGTGGATAAGCTTTTGGAGTTCACGACAGTGTGTCACGTCACTTGTCCTGACTCTGTGCCAGTGCGCACAGCGTCAGGAGACGAGGTCAGCAAGCACATCAGCTGGCATCCCGTTGGCTCCTCCGTGGCCAGCTCTTGTCATTAGCATCATTGGTCCTCATTAGTGAAGGGTAGTGTGTCTGAATTTCTACACACGCTAACTGTTCACACTTCCGTTTATACCGACTTTCGCCTTTATTTACTCTTTTGCCTTATTTACATAGCGGGAAGAACTAAAGGACATTTTTAGACAGGTAGAATTTTTTTATTTTTGTTTTTAATCCGATTCTTTTGAAGTGAAGAGGATCTGAATTTTCTGCATAAAAGGTGGCTCTTGCCACAGAAAATGTTAAGCGTCGAAAAATTAAGGTGCCTTCTTTAGGATGTTTAAGTGGCAAATATTAGATGTACTTGCAAATGACCGTACTTGACTGGTTTTGCTTTATTTTATAAACATAGACTAATTCTAAAAGAACAAATTAGTATTAAGATAACTTATCCACTATCTCGTCTTAAACCCTTACACCTGTGAAAGAAATAGACTTCAACATTCTACCAAAATGACACACATCTTCTTGCTTCCGTGAGGTGCCTTCTGAGCTATGTGCCCTCTGGGGACTGGGCTGGATCCTATGTCTCAAAGTGCTCACCCTGAAAGGGTGGACAGACAGGCAAGCAAACCATCACTCACAGAAGTACCTCCACGGCAGCCTGGGCAAGCGCAGTGGGAACCTCCAGCGAAGCTGCCTCAGAGGGAGTTGTGGTGACGGGAGCTTTACACAAGAGATAGTGTTTGATCTGAGACTTAAGTGATAAGTAGGAACTCGGGAGGAAGACAGGGCAGAAGAAACAGCATTTTGCAAAGTCAACATCTGGGGGCTGTCGATGAGCATCGCTAGAGGAAGCTGGGGCAGGAGTAGTGATAAGTAGGAACTCGGGAGGAAGACAGGGCAAAGTCAACATCTGGGGGCTGTAATTAGAGTCGATGAACATCACTAGAGGAAGCCGGAGGAGGATTAATAGGAAATGAGTCTGGACAGGTAAATGAGGGCTAAATCACGAAGGTCCTCGCAGGTCACGCCAAAGAATGCAGATGTCATTCTCAAGGCGAGAATTTGCCCAAATGTGTTTTTACAGAACACGGCTCTTTGTGATGTTAATAGCGGGAACATGTGAAAAGGGTTCTGAGGTCACATAAGTTGAAAAATGTTGTGTCGAACAAGAGAGTTATCTAAACTGGGAAAATTGTCAGAACATGTGATGTGCCGGCGAGCACTGTGACTATCTCCAGGGTGGCTCAAATTCGGTATCTCCCACAGAATCCCTTTGGCAAGGACGTTGTCGTGGGACTCAGCGTCTCGTGGACCTGGCTTTGGGGAATGCTAGCATGGATGAAGGGGAGCCGAGGAAGGATTTTGAGTGAGGAAGTGACACGGACAGCTCTCTGCACGGTCATCCAGTCCCTTTGGCAAATGCGTGCAGGATAGAGCTGGCCCGTGATTGACAGGATCGATCCGAGATGAACAAGGAGACCATTTTCATGGTCCTGGTGCTAGGTGATGAGAGACTGAACTGGGCAGAGGCAAAAAGAGACAGAGAGGGATGAAATATATGGGCAAGAGGAAGTAAAACTGGTGCGACCCGGATTTTACGGGAGGCTCTGAAGGGTGAGAGAGAGGGAGGAATCCGGGCTTTCGCCCAAGTTTAGAACAAGGGAAGTTTGGTGAACGGCCGCGCTTGGTAACCAGAGAGGGAATGCAGGAAGAGGAACAGGTCTGGCGAGTAGATGGCTTTCACTTCGAATGCACGGCGTTCGAAGCTCCCGCGGCAGAGCCAAGTGATAGCGAATAAACAGCTGGGTCGGTGAGTCTGAAGTTCAGGAATCGGGCCGAAAAACGTGGCTTTGTTAACCAGCAGCCTGCAGGGGGTAGTTGAATCCACGGGCGTAAATGAACGTGAGAGAGAACGTGTATCTGTGAGTAGCAAGAATAGAAGGCCAAGGACAAGGCCGTGGCTTGGGCAGAGACCACGGGGGCAGAGGAGGACGGAGAAGAACTTCCAGGGTGGGAGAAGAGAGCGAAAGCGCAGAACCCAAGAGACCAGAGCGTTTCCAGAAGCTGTTTGTGTTTCTAATGCCTTGTTTCTTTTCAGTAGCACATTTTCTGTTTGGCTCAGGCTAATATTAAAATTAGTTCTCATTCCTGAGTATACAGTGACAGACTGTTAGGGGAAGTGTCCCAGAACTACATCGTGGGAAAGCAAATCTAGCCTAGAATTACCAAAAAAAAAAAAATGGTTATAAAATATTCATACGTTGGATAGTTTACACCCAGACAAATCAAAGCCAACTTTGGTGCTGTTCCTGGTAAAGAAAAGGAGAGAGACTTTCCCCATTCTCTGCCGTGTCGAATCCTCCTCTTAGGGCGAGGACCAGAAGGGCGGTTGGCAAAGCTCCGTCTGCCCCACATTCCCCATCTCACTCTGTTTTCTGAAATTCCACCCATCCTGCCCTCTCCTGCTCTCCTTCTTCCCTCTCCTCCCTTCTCCACGCCCCTCTTCTTCTCTCTCCTCTCTCCCCCTCTCCTCTCTTTTCCTGTTCATCCTTAGGACAGGCATCGAGCCTGGTTATGTACCAGGCACTGTATTAGGTGTCAGGGTCCAGGGGACTTTGAGTCCCAATAAGGGAGCTCAGAGATGTAAACTAATTACTGCATCTGACAGTGGCAGGTGCTCTGATCGTTCCAAACGCAGAGAACGAGGTGAGGGAGGGACTTTTCCTACCCAAGGAAGGGGATTAGGATGGCATCCCAGAGACGGTGACATCGGGACTGACCTCTAGGAGTCTTCTGCCAAAGTGCTGCCACTATTCCACGATGGAGTAACTGTTGGGCCACTCTCCCCTGTGACTGTCACCTATGGAAGAGAGGGGCGGGGGCCCTGAGGTATTTAAGAGATGTGGCTTTGAATATACAACAGGGAAAAGAAAGTGGCTGGCATGTGAGGTGCCACCTGAAGAGGGAAAAGAAGGTGGAGGAGGCCGGTCTTTGTCGGCCGGAAGCCGTTCACCGTGGAGAGAAAGGGGGAGACCAGGCTTCGCTGTTTCACGTTCTGGGGGCCAGGCCTCTTCTCCATTCATCTAATTATGTGCTACATTTTCTCTCTGGTTTTTTGATAAAGAGGAGGCTTAGCTAGCTAGGTTTTAGGTAGTTTTTACTTTGCATCTAATCAAAGTCCACTCCCTTATTCTTAATATGTTTAAAAATTTTCTTAGCATCTCTCGAATCTTGCTTCTGTGCCCTCAAAAAAAGTTCCCAGCTTTGTCCCCACCAACCCTTGCTATTTTCCTTCATCTCTGTTTCCCCATTTTCTGCTCAGGTATCTGTTTTCAGAAACAATACTATGTAAGACTGTCATTAATTAGTTTTCCTCTACCTCACCCCTCTTCTTAAGTATAGTTGTTTTTAACTTCTAGCCTCTTGGTTTTCCCCCGTTATGGTCCTTTTAAGTCAAGTTTTTAATATTAACGTTTTTTTAAATTGCGAATGAATCCTCTCCTCTCTTTTCTTGGAATACTGAGTACTTTCAGCTCTGTGAAGCCCTTTCCTATTCATTTCTCCTTTTTTTAACTTTTTTTTTCCAATTCCAGCTGACATTTGATATGACTTTGTATTAGTCTCAGGTGTACAGAATAGTGGTTAGACCCCCTAGTCATTTTTCTTATTTCGTTCCAATGAAGCTGTCCTAGGGTCCCCGGTGCAGGGGAGGAGGGAGCAAGATCGGAGGGGACGTTAAGGAGGGTCCCCCAGTAACTCTAGGGCTCTGCTTGGCCCCTCTGAGGAGCCCCTGTTCTGGGTGATTTCTCTCTGGTAATTCCCCTGCCGAAAATTTTCAGTGACCCTTCGATCCCTGTGGATGTCTGACAAGTGTGAATCCCACCCAATCCTACTTTTTCTGGAGAGGGCACAACCAACTGGTCCCTGTGGGTTCAGGGTCCCCCACGTCCCATCATCTCTGTATCTCGTCAAACCCCATCCCCGGCCCGCGAAAAGCGTGGTTTAGAGCGGGGGCTCCAGGAGGTCATTACTTTCCACCACCGTGTCCCCTCGTGATCCAAGCTCAGGTCCGCGGGCTGGGAGCGTGGGAGGGAGCCTTCAGCTTTGCATGCTCCTGACCCCACTTCCGTGCCCCGACAGGAGTGCTGTTCAGCATCGAGGTCACCTCCACCTACTTCGCCGTCCGCAACTACTGGCGAGGGTTCTTTGCCGCCACGTTCAGTGCCTTTGTGTTCCGCGTGCTCGCCGTGTGGAACAAGGATGCGGGTAAGGGGGGCCCTGGGGTGGAGGCCTGGGACGTAGGGTGGCTCGTAATGGGGCGTGGAGGGACCCTCTGCAGGGCAGTACAGAAAAGGGACTGAGACCCAAGGGCGTAGGACCGGTGGCCAGGTCGCAGAGTAGGGGCGTGTGGCTGTGCACAGGGAACGGAAATTAAATAGGAGACGGTGGGCCTGGTGGGAGGAAGGAGTTGACGCCACGCTCCCTCCATGATGCTCTGCCTTTCTCTCCTACAGTCACCATCACTGCTCTCTTCAGAACCAACTTCCGAATGGATTTCCCCTTTGACCTGCAGGAGCTCCCAGCCTTTGCCATCATCGGGTCAGTGGGGTCACCTCCTCTGGGAGTGGTGAGCTGGGGGCGGGTGTGGCATTGGATCGGAAGGGACCCAGGCGGGGAAGAAGGTGGGGCGGACACAGCTGAGGTTGTAAATTGGTTGGGGGGAGACAGGTAGAAAGGGAAGGAGGTTGCCTGGTATTTGTTCCCCCCCATGGCTAGAACCGAGAGGTGAGGGTGTCATTTCTGTGTGACGTACACCCCCCAGGATCTGCTGTGGGTTCCTGGGAGCTGTATTTGTGTATCTGCACCGCCAAGTCATGCTCGGTGTCCGAAAGCACAAGGCCCTCAGCCAGTTCCTTGCTAAGCAGTGAGTCACTACCCTGCCCTTGCCCTCCCCACTGGCCTTCTGGTTTCTGCAAGAGTTCCTCTTTTTCGATCTTTGTGGAAAGCATCAAATGCCTTTCCATGGCTTGGAATCAAGTACAGAAGCCCCGATGCCCCATGTGGGGAGTGCGTGGTTTCATGTCCCCTTTGAAGACGGCGTTTTGGTGGCGAGGATGTGCCGTGCGTCAAGAGCCGAGACTACGTGGGGCTGCAGGAGACTGCAGCCTGCCGGGGTCCAGCGTGCTTCCCCCCCGTGGGTTGGCGAAATTCAGGAGACAATTCATTCCATTCCTTTCTCAGCCGCCTGCTGTATCCAGGGGTCGTCACCTTCGTCATCGCCTCGTTCACCTTTCCACCAGGAATGGGTCAATTCATGGCTGGAGAGGTCAGCTCTAAGGGGGCCTTGGGGTGGGAGCCAGATCACTGAGCCCATGACAGGGACTAAGCGGGGACCTGGAGGCATGGAAAAGAGGAAACAGTACTGATGTCCCTTGGGCTTCTGAGCACATGTACTTTTTTTGCTCGAGGGTAGAATCCGTCCCTGAGTAAAGAGCAGAGGGACCCTTGAAAAACGAGATGGGGAATCAGTTCTCTGAAAAGAGGAAGTACCGAGCATCTCTGGAGAACTGACCCCTTTGCTTCCTCCTCTCCCAGTTGATGCCTCGTGAAGCCATCAGCACCCTCTTTGACAACAATACGTGGGTAAAACACATAGGTGACCCTGAAAGCCTGGGCCGGTCGGCTGTGTGGATCCACCCACAGGTCAACGTCGTCATCGTCATCTTCCTCTTCTTTGTCATGAAGGTACCTCTGCCAACAGGCCTGACCCCCTAAGCTTCTGTTTTCAACCCAGGGTTTGCACAGGGTAGGAGAGGGTAACACTACATCTGCTCTTCACCCAGCCTGAAAAGAAATAGCTTGGAAACCAGAGCATAAGTAAATCACTCATATGTACGTGTGAACAATATTTAGGTGGTTTGTTTCATTCGTGTCAACTTATAGATGTTGCCTTCCAAAGGTTCTGCTTGCTAAATTATTAAGACATCACAGCACCCAAGTAAACAAAGACAAGATAGAGTTTAGCAATATAGATAACTGTTTAAAAACCTCAGATAAATTAACCGAATCCCCCACGTATTAGATAATTAAGCACTCCATTCTCCTTCTATCTGATTATCCATTTTTAGATAATTTGCATATCCCTCCCCCCCCCACCACCTCCACCCTGGTCTAGTGGGTAATCTCTTTTCTAGAATTGCAAAAGAAGATTAAATATTTAAATCAATTTTATTAGTGACTATAAATAATTTTTATAAATGTTATTATCCTCTGTTTCGGTAGTGAGCCTGCGAGGATTTTGCCATTCCCAGCCACTTCCTTCTAACTCCAACCAGGAAACAAAAGCTCATTTCTTTTTGCATGTTTTTTTTCTCAGACCTGCCCGTCAAAGATCATGTGTTGTAGACTTCTCAATGACTGCCTTATACAAAGATATTTTTATTTCCACCCCTGGTCGTGACATCGATTACAATTGCTGATTGCATTGTTTTTTTTTCTTTTTTGATGATTGCCTTATTACGAATAGTATGTCTTGCCTGAATGAACATTTTCCTCTGCATAGTAGGGCTCTCATTTAAAAATCCTTCCACACTGAACTTGCCTGCTTTTGAATACCTCGCTATCAACTTAGTCTCATTACTTTTTATGAGTCTATATTTCCTCAGGATATGAGTCATGAAGTGACATTTACATTGTAATGGCTGTAGTGGGTTCATTTATTCATTTATTCAAGAAATGTTATTATATACCTTCTAGTTGCCAAATATGTAATACTTAATCCTTGATATTTGACAAATCTTATGCTTAAGGTTGAAAACAATTATTTAAAATTCCTTCTCTGTGTGTTGCTACTCATTTAATGTGCTCGTCAATAGTCTTACGATTAGGGCTACCTGGTGCTTAACACACCAGGTTCCAACACTGTAACTTACATTCTTAGGATTTGCTGGGGTTTCTAGAAGCCATATTTATATATGTTCTTCTCTATTTCACTCCAGGTAGGTCAATTAGGTCTCTAGTGTCCACATTTTGCATACTCATGATTAGTTATATCTTTTTTATTTTGATCATATAAGTTCTCAGTGTCTTGTTAGGGATTTTTTTTTTTTGGACTTTCATTGTAGAGTTCGTTTTCCCTAAGTTATAAATCCTAACTTCCCATAATTGATTAAGTATACAAACCCATCTGTAGTAACCAAGTCCAAGTTTTGATGGCATCTCAGAATAATTGTGTTTTTCTGATCTTCCCCTAGACCGAACTATAAGGTAACTTTGGGATCACATATGCTTTTAAAATGTCAAGCTTTTGAAATTTTTTTGAGAAACAAAATATTGTATTTTTTCAACATTTTTCCTACACCTCACTTCACCTGCTTGGATTCCCAGGAATATATCTGGATTCCAGCTCATAGATTAAAGTTTATTCCGAGAAACCTACTGGATTACATAGAAAGACTCACCTGGACGTCACTATTATTAACTTCTCACTGAATTACACCCCTGATAGTGTTTACATCATACGTTTATCAGGAAAAGAAATTCACACACCCCCTGGGCTATATTTCAAGCCCAACAGTTTGCAGCAGGCTTATAATATTCTATAATATTAATGAACATAAAACCATTCATTGCTATAAATCCATGTTATTACTTAGTTATCACTGCTTCTGGCATTTTTCACTGTTCTATCATTGGACACATAGGCATACTCTTATTTTTTCCAGAGTGTGGGCAATAGATTATATAGCCAAATGAAAATATAAAAGTGATTAAAAGTACAGATAAGATCTCAGTTCAGATAAGATCTCAGTTCCCATCTTTTATAATATCCACGAAGGGAACTTACATCTTCCTCAATCTTAAGACATTGAAAGTATCATGATGTTGTGAGTGAGGAGCTTTTACAATGAGTGTGAATGTACTTACAACTTCTCAGTTTCCCTTTCAGTAAATCTCACACGATTACCTGGTATGTGGAGTTCTCAGCACAGCCTGAGGCTCTGTCAAGTTCTTTTTTGTCGAATCTTCATATCCTCCTTCTGAAAGGTCTGAGCGAAGCGGAATCTGTGGTCTCATTTCCCAGTTCTCTAGAACTGGGCATTTAAAACCTTGGGAGTTATTTGTGTTCAATGTCACTCTCTTTCTGGATCTTTCTTTTCAAGAACCAATAGCTCAAAAGTTGGCTAATCTCATGTCATTCTTCGTGCTATAGGATTTGATGCCTCAGATTCCTCTGATCCTGATACTGTTCTTACACATCTCTTGGAGGCTAATCTAAAGTTCATCCTCTGATATCAGACGTATCGGCCACCTGTTAATATGTAGTACCGGAGCTTTTAGATTGACCTGAGCCTACAAAAATCCCTAATGGCTTCTCAAAATCCCTTATGTACATATTCCAAAGAGAATAGATCAAGGGGTCTCAAACTGTTACGGGTCAGAATCACTTAAGAAGCTTAAACTGCAAGTGCCTAGAAGTCTGTCTCCAGATACTCTGACCTGGTGGTGTCTGGTCGTCTATAGTTTAAACAAATTCCCCATGAGCATTACCAGTGGGTGTTTCAGCAAATGTTAACTCTGAGAAGCCTTTTCTGCTTTGCACAAATACTAGTTGACCAAGCTCTCTCTTCCTTTCTTTCCTTCCTTCCTACTGACCTACTTACCTACCTACATCCTACCTGCATCCTACCTACCTACATGCACTGAGCACTATGCCAGTGCAGAGAGAAGGCAGAGAAGACAAGATACACTCGTGTTACACACTCAAGGAATTCTCAGTCTATATTCTCTTCATTTGTACATTTAACTTTTCAGTTCTCCCCTGTTTTAGACAGTGATATTTTGATATGAAGAAGTATGTATTTTGCCTCATCTCAGAGTTTCTGGGATGAAACCTCCTCAGAACCTTTGTCACTGCCTCTTGAGGTCAGCCCTAGCTCACGGGATTCTTTCTGAGTTTCGAGAAATGAAGACATTTATTTCTCGTTTGCTTGCAAGGCAATTGGTGCAGTTTTTTAATTGCAAATATTTTGATCCCGGCAATTTGTTCTGACTTTTAGTTGTTATCATCTTTCACCAAATTAGTTTGAGACTGGAAGTGACATGCAAATTTATTGCTTAATCTATAGATCATCTCATTTTTTTATTTCTTTTACAGATATTTCAAAAGTTCAACCACTACTCCTTTCTTCTACTCTATTTCTCAGTTCTTTTGCATTCTTTGCCACAAAAGGCTCATATTGCTTTTTCTAAAATTATCCCAGTTTCTATGAGAACACTACCTGACAGAGTTGGCCTTGGAGATCTTTTCTGTTAAACTGGCTGACTCACCTGGCTTTCTCAAGGTGCCCTTCCAATGCGGCCAGCCCAGATCCGATTTTTTGATCCTTTGTTCAGAGTGATTTGCTGTCACAGGAAATGTCTCAGGCAGGATAGTCTTCACTGCAGATCCCCGCCCCACTCCCCAGGTTCACCATATGTAAATGGCTTTGTAAATGACCATATGGAAATTCAATTAGTCACAGAGTAAGTCACTAAGACTTTTAAGATGTCTGCTACTTAGAACTGGGGATCCTTTTCAGAAACATAATCTGACCAGGAAAAGGTGTCTTTCAGCTTCATACGTTTCAGGCTGCTATGCTGAGGTGACCTTTTGAAGTTAAGAGGGTGTACAGTGGGCTAGGGCCCTTTTGGGGTCAGTGACAGAGGAAACCTCTGGGGCCCCACTCCGTGGTCTAGACTGCTTAAGGGCAAATATAATTAACTATAGAAGGGTTTGGGGTTAACCACCTGGAGGAACTTTCTTATAGTGTTGTCTTTGGTAATTTCTTGGCCCGAAAGCTCCGGGTATTTTGGTTATGGAGGAAAGGGGACAGACAGGGTGGCTTCCAGGAGGATAAGCCATCCCCAGATTTCTGTGACTCTTGAAGCAACAAGGAGGAAGATAGTGGGGGTGGGGGGCAGGGGGCGCTGAGGGTGCATGTGTGTCTCGGGTCTAGTGAAGAGGGTGTCCTGACGCCTCTTTCTACCCCAGTTCTGGATGTCCATCGTGGCCACCACTATGCCCATTCCCTGCGGAGGCTTCATGCCTGTGTTTGTGCTGGGTAAGTTCTGATGGGGAGCCTGCGATCCTGCTAATAGCTGGGGAAATAAGGAAAAGCCTGGAATGCTGGGAGCTTGTATTTGGTCTTAGCACCCGAGAAGGGATGAGCTCTGAAAATGTAAAGTGTAAGGAACTTGGCTCTCTCAACACCTTCCTGCCTTTTGTCCTTCCTCTAGGAGCTGCATTTGGAAGGCTGGTAGGAGAGATCATGGCCATGATTTTCCCAGATGGTATCTTATTTGATGGCATCCTCTACAAGATTCTGCCTGGGGGCTATGCAGTGATTGGTGAGACACATCCCGCCCTCCCGTAACCAAGTACCGAGCCCTCAAACACCCACACTCAGACTCTCCCATGACATCTTCATTCCAGGCTACACAGTATGATTTTAATTTAATGCTATTAATTCAACTTTTATTCAGATAATCAGCCCTGGGTTCTGACTCTCATTCACATTTATTGAATGTCTATAAGACTTAGTTTCTTCATGTAGAAAAGGATTATAAGGATTAAATGAAATAATAGGGATGAAAGCACCTAGAATTATGTCTGAATGTGTATTAAGAGTTTTGTTTTTCTTTTTTCCTTCCAAAGAGTCATGGAAACGATGTTGCAGGTGACTGGCTTGGCTACCTTCACCTTGCAGACGTGCTAATATTGACAGGACTTAAGAGCACATGACTAATTGCTAAGAAGCATAGGCTCTGGACTCCTCTCTGCCACTTATCCCCTGGATGACTGTGAACAAGTTAGCTGTCTTTCTGAGATTTATTTTTTTGTTGTTCTAAAGTGACTTCTGAGATATCGTACAGCCTTAACATTGTGAAAGTCTCTGATTTCTTTCTTATTATGTCTGTTAACCCATCCAACAAAAAAACAGTGTCTAACACAGTGACTAATATAATCCCCAGAAGTGCTAGGCTTCCTTCCTCCCTCCCGACTTCACCGAAATCCCGTAACATCCAAGGCCGTGCCTCCCCCAGATTCAGGAGCAGTTCCAGATTTCTTGCTCATATGATGACCTTACTCTGCCATAAATTGTTGCGTCAAAACCTGAGGTCCAAAGTAGAATGCCGTCACTGGGTTTTAAAATGCTCAGTTAAGAATGATCCAAACTTTCAAAAACAAGGAATAGATAGGACGTCACTGTCTTCGTTTTATAAATGAAAATTTGGGTCCCTGTCAAAGATTTTGTGACTTGTCAAGGTCATAGAATGAGATCGAATTGATGATTTTTCTAGCAGTTCAGCATTCTAACCCCTACTCTCAGCAGATGGTGTATTGGCACGGATGAGGGTCGTGTCCCCTCATCCTGTGTCACTCCCATCACACCCCCACGTGCCCCCCATGCCACGGCAGCTCTGACCCCCCAGTGCGTTCCTGTGTCTCCTTCTAGGAGCAGCAGCCCTGACCGGTGCAGTGTCCCACACGGTATCCACAGCTGTGATTTGCTTCGAATTAACGGGTCAGATCGCTCACATCCTGCCCATGATGGTGGCTGTTATCTTGGCCAACATGGTGGCTCAGAGCCTGCAGCCTTCCCTCTATGACAGCATCATCCAGGTCAAGAAGCTCCCCTACTTGCCTGACCTTGGTTGGAACCAGCTCAGGTCAGGGACACCAGCGGGAATTAGCTCAGCTCTGCTGGGGTGCGGGTGGGAGATTCCGGGGTTGAGATCGATGTCAGGGCCAGTGTCTGGAAGACTGCTTCCTACTCATTTTCATATTCCCATGTGCTTAATAAATACTGTGAGTGATCTGTGCATGGCAAACCTCATGGGAGGAATGGAAGGGACATCAAAGGGACAGGCCTATGGTGGGGTTAACCCCCTCACCCGCCCCCCCCAACACTTTTTCCCTCCATAGCAAATTCACGATCTTTGTCGAAGACATCATGGTACGTGATGTGAAGTTTGTTTCAGCGTCTTGCACGTATAGGGAGTTGCAGACCCTGCTCCAGACCACCACAGTCAAGACTTTACCGCTGGTCGATTCAAAAGGTCAGTGGGAGGGAGGAAACCGACTCCTGAGCTCCAGGCCAGACCTCCGGTTCCACGGAGGTGGGGGAGGCATTGTGGCCTGGGCAGAGGTGGGGGAGGCGCTGTGGCCTGGGCCACCCAGTCTGCAGCCGGAGGCCCAGTCTGGGCTCCTTAGGGAACAGGATCATCCTCGAAGAGGGGAGAATACAGCTGGGACAGAAGCACAAGAAGACAGTCAAAACCCAGTTAAGAGAACGCAGTCAGTTCTCATTATCCACTGTAGTTATGTTCTGTAAGGCCGCCATGAACACTGAGTTAAGGACACGACCCCGAATTGCTCCCAAAGGCCATGCAGGGTTAGGTTCCCGCAAGTCTTTGGCCACATTTTCTTCAACTAATTAGTGCCTAAACGTGTTGAATGCACTGATTTCTCTTCAAAGACACCTTATTTAATATATGTTCATCATGCCTGAACGAAACTTATCTAACACATATTTTCCTCATAAGGCACATCACAGCCTTTATGCTTGGGGGCAATTTCAAACGGCAAAATCAGCAACGTAAAACACATAAAAGCCAAAAATGTAGCATTAAATGGACCACAGAAAGAGCACTTGTTTTCAACAAGAGACCTGAGAAAAAAGAAGGCAGAGCCTTGCTTTGTTCAGCCTCAGCGGAGAATGCGGGTGGGGGGCGATTCAGATTTTTTGTTGCTCTGCATGTGTCTGTGAATGACAGCCGAAGCAGTGTGCATATTAATTTCGGGTTACAGATATTATTTTAGCCAGTAGGAGAATTCGCAAATAGGGAATCCGCAAATAATGAGGGTTTAGTTGTAAGTCCAACGGCCCCTTACGTGGTTCTCCCTGCTACTCAGCTAGACGATAGCTGTTCTTTAATGCCCAGTTCGGGAAGCCGATGACACTGCCCAGGTGGAGGAGAGGATGGTTTTAGTGAGCAGCGATTCCATAGCTCACTTCCTTCACCTCCTTCCTGCCCGCCTTGGGCACCGAATCCTGCTCTGTGTTATTTCCTACTGTGGTTTATAGATCTGTGTCTAACCTTCCTCACTAGATTGGGTATTATTCTCCAGGATAGAGATTACAACTTCTGCCTCCCTCAGACTGCCTCCTTGTAGGTATTTACTAGATATTAAATAACTACTTGTCTAATGTTTGAATTCGTGTAACAGAGAAGAATCACAGAAGGCCATCTGGAGCCATTAAAATTGTTAGTTCTGATTTTCGATAATCAGAGTATCCAAATTGCTCAAATGAGGTTGGTTTTATATTATCCCAAATCCCAGATACCCTCTAAGTGGACTCTAAAGCAGTGTCTCCTCCTTGGAGCAAGGGAACAGGCAGGGAAGTGCCCGGTTTCCTAATAATGACTAAGACTTAACGGTAAGGTTTATCTCAATACATTGCTGCGATTTTATGGCCTTAAAACTTAATGAAAATGTTAATTATAGCAGCAGAATTTCGACCTTCCCGGGAAATGTAGGCATTTTATTTATATCCTAGAAGGACACAGAGTCTTTAAGTGATTAAACGCCAGATATCCTTGTAGACTTCTCTCAGAGTATATTCACATCTCAGCCTACGTGAATGGCTTTTAATTTTTTTTTTTTTTTTTTTTTTTTAGAGAGACGGGGTTGATTAGCCTATTTTAATACCAAGTGCATCTACTTGCAAACAGGCTATACAAAAATAAGTGCAAATTAGCACCAATTAGGGTACTATCAACTGGGCCTCTGAGTGCCAAATGAGTGAAATGGAAGGGAAGGAAGGGGTGGAAGATTTTTGAAACAGGCTTTTAGGGGGGCACTGGTTTTCTGTCCCTAATTCCGTCCTGCTGACCGGGGTGGAGTCAGGGTGGGGGCGGCTGGTAAGGAGCAGGACCTCAGGCTGAGCTTGGATCGCCCCCAGATTCAATGACCCTGCTGGGCTCCGTGGAGCGGTCAGAGCTGCAGGCCCTCCTGCAGCGCCACCTCTGTCCTGAGCGGAGGTTGCGGGAAGCCCAGGACCTGGCCAGGAAGCTGTCTGAGCTGCCCTACGATGGGAAGGCACGGCAGGCTCGGGAGGGGCGCCCCGGCTTCTCACCCCAGGGCCGGCCGGAGTCCTTTGCCTTTGTGGATGAAGATGAAGACGAAGACCTCTCTGGGAAGCCCGAGGTGACCGAGCTGGACAGGGCTGGGGGAGCAGGAACGATTGGGGCAAAGGGAAAGTAGGAAGAGGGAGTGGAGATGCTGGTCATTGGGAAATTCAAAGAGACCAGTGCCCATGGGTCCAGAGGACCGAAGGAGATTAGGCTGCACATAAAGGTACTGACGGGAATCCAAAGGGATGTAGGAATTCTGAACTGGGGAGGAGAATAGAATTAGATTTCCCAGGACATCAGCTGGTAAAGGCAGGAAAGCACTAGGCAGCCCCTTCCCCGGAACTGAGAATTTTCACTATTCCTTTCAGCTGCCTCCTCTTCCTCTTCCTCACCCCCTTTCCACTGCTTCACTGCCCCCTGAAGAGCCCAACGGGCCCCTGCCCAGCCACAAACAGCAACCAGAAGCACCAGAACCTGCAGGTGAAGATTCTCCCATCATGCACCTTTACTCCGCCTGAGGGCCGCTTCCATGAGGAGGGGAGAAGCTAGGGTGGCGGGAGGGGGTTCCTAGTCATTGAGTCTCCATGTTATTGCCCCAAGAAGTGGGGGTAAGGGCTGACTTGGGAGGGTAGAAGAGAGGGCATCTAGGCAGTGAGGTACCTGGGAAGTATAAACCTTTTGTGGCAAAGGGTCAGGGGACCAGGTGGGAGCCCCTGACCATTTCCTGCCAGGATGGAAAATTGTTTCCATTTCCATCTGCTCCCCACTCATCTCAGGTCAAAGACCCTCCATCTTTCAGTCCCTGCTGCGCTGCTTGTTGGGCAAAACTCGTCCCACAAAGAAGAAAACGAGCCAGGTGAGCGGTGTGGCGGGAAGGCGACAGGGAACGGGAGCTTGTCTTCGAGGAGCGGGCTACTCGTGGTCCTTAGACCAGGAAGGAAGGGTCCCCCCAAGGAGAAGTTTTCATCATACGGAAGGGGTGATAGGTTGGAAAGCAGGCATTCGTGGCCCCGGCCAGGGAGACGTGGCTCTGGTTCCATCGGGAAAGAGCTTGGACCTCGGTCTTTCTTCTCTAGGATTCAACGGAGTTGGTGGAGAACATGTCGCCGGAAGAGGTGAGTAAGGGAAACAACAACCTGGGGTGGGTTGTCCTGTCAGATGAAGGTAGCGCTCATCCTTTTTCTGCCTTCTTCGTCACATTGTTGTGAATATAGGATGCGAATCTCGGCAGGAAGCGTTTTGAGAGATGGGAAAGGAGGTACCATTATGGGGAGAGGGGTGGGAGCACCGCTGAGAGGTGGGGGGGGTCTGGCGAGGTTCTCCGAAGGACTGTCGTCATTTCAGAAGAGGAAAGTGTGAGTCTCCACGCGTAGATGGTGCCAGGTGCTTAGACGAGCCTCAGACCTTCTAGGCGTTTAGGGGTGTTCTAGACCAGGCAGAGACTATGCAGAGAAGACTGACGCCAGCACTAACGTCCATAGCACCAAAACTAGAAAGTGGGGTCCACCGCCCGGCGCAGGGCACTCCACCGGTTGATCAGGGCCCCGAGCCAGGGGACAGCTGGAGAGGGCCAGGAAGCGAGACTGGGAAGAACCACAAACTGAGGACAAATATTGACAGAGCTGCCTCCTGGGGACACATGCCTGTTTTCCGAAAGCGCGTTAGGTTCTCAAGGCCAGGAGAGAGAAAGCCGAGCACACCGCATGGGCTCGGCTGTGAGGAGGGAGAGAACGTGTGGCAGTGACTGGGGGCACGTCTGCTGGGCACGCACCCACGCGGGCGCGGGGACCCAGCGACGCAGTCCATTAGCAGCCCTCCCATCTAGTGAAGGAGAACGCGGACTCCCCGTGAAGGCTGAAAAGGTAGAGCTTTGGAGCCGACGAAACCATAACGGATGTTATTTTACAATAAACGTCTTATTGGGCCTCCCGAATAAATACGCGCTGAAAGTTAAAAGTACTCCAGGGTTGGAGGAGGGGGTGGGGAGTGGCGAGAGAGAACGGAAGCCTCCCCCTTCTTCCCGTGTCACCCCTCGTAACACGCACACTTCTAATAAATGACTTATGGAAAAGTGGAGTAGATGATCACAGAGGAAAAAGAAAAACCATTTCTTCTGCCCACAAGCAGGAATCAGATGGGTCATAACTGCAATTAAGGAGTGCGTTGCTAAGGTGCTAAAACCCATAATAATACTTTTTTTTTTTTTTTTAATGCACCAAAGAGAGAAAGCTGGCTAGTTGACCAGTGAGGCTATTTATGACCGCTGGAAATAAAGTGCGGCCAGGGATAAAAAGAAAATAGAATATACATTTTTAGTTTATATCTTTCCCAAAGAAGACTTTAGGCAGCTCCCATGTGACCTACTGACATTTTAGAGGTAAAAAAGATCCAACAGGAGTCAAAATTGAGATTATTTTGGACATGGGTTTTCAGGCTAGATCAAGGTGACACCGTTGGCAGTATCGAGATAATACCTAAGGGAATGACAAAAGAGTTATTATAGGTCTCCGGAAGTCCCTGCTATGACTTAATTCTGTGACAGTGTTAGGAGTACACACAGTTGGAGCTCCAGTTTGTAACGGGCTGAGCTTTTTCAAGTTCAGAGGCAAGAGCATACATCCTCTTCCCCATGGGCAAAAGCTAAGGGGGTACCTGGAGCTCAGTCAGCAGTCAAGGTCGGAAGCCCAGTCCTACCTCCGTGTAATCTCTCAGCAGACTACTCAAGCACTCTGCCCTTCTGTCTCCTCCACTGTCAAACAGATGTAATGATCGGGTCGTTGGAGAGGATTAAATGAGTGAAGACATGTGGAAAGCAATTTGAATAATGCCTGGCACAGAGGCAGTGCTTGGTACACGTGCATTAGAAATAGTTCTGTTGTCATTGTTTCCTAAGGAAAGGCCAGGAATGGTCACAGAAAGGGTCCAGGAGGACAGGACCAGCCAAACCAGAGATGGCAGGGGTCTAGCCCCAGTCCTATAAATAAATCGTCTCTGCAACATACCTGCTAGGTGG